CAAATCGAGGAGGCCACGAGGGGCTGCAACGGGGCCGCGAAGGGCAGCGAGGAGGCCACGAGGGGCTGCAACGGGGCCACGAAGGGCAGCGAGGGGGCCACGAAGGGCTGCAACGGGGCCACGAACGGCAGCGATATCCCGATTCCTAAGTAATCGGTGAGGGGTCCTAAGCGTGAGCGCGACTCCTGGGTGCCTGGGTGTCGGGAGCGCGGCGCTTGAGTAAATTGCAGCAGGTTCCAACGGAAGGGCCAGTAAATTGCAAGCAAGTCTCCAGCGAGAGCGCGACCCCAGAGCGCCTGGAGAGCGATTCCTGAATAATTTATAGGGGTGTCCCGAACGAGAGCGCGATTTCGGAATAGAATGCGAGGAAGTCTCGGGCTGGAGCGGGGGTCCCGGCTAAATTATGAGGAATTATCAAACGGGGGCAGTTGTTGTTGTAACCCGGGGGCCGGGTCTCAGTTTGAGCCTCAAGACCTTCCCTGCTAAAGAACAGGGTGCGAGCGTCGAGGGGCACACTCTGATTGAGGAAAAGCAGTATGCACCAGTAGGGGGATCAACAATACTTATTCCTCAGATGTGAGAGTTAACAACAACAACAACAACAACAACAACAACAACAACAAACATAGCAACAACAACAACAACAAACACAACATCAACAACAACATCAACAACAGCAACAACACACACAACAAACACAACAACAACAACAACAACAACAACAATCATTTTACCCTCATGCGCCATGCTTCCACATGACACATGCATCCATCTGGATAGCACACCCCCTCATGGGGGATTTTTCTGGCATGCGGGATCCGATATTCCCTCACCCAGATATCCCGCCCAAGAAGGTTTGGCCACCACCTCTTCCGAGGAACTTCAACATCCATAGCTCGGACGGCACATCGCCTTCGCAATCGCCTTGCGCATGCCCCGCATCCCAGAGGGAGAGGAAGAGGAAGAGGAGGGGGAGATGAGAGAGATAGGGAGGGGGAGGAGGAGAAGGGAGGGGGAGGAGGGGGAGGAAGGATGAGTAGTTGTAGTAGCAGCAGTTGATGATATTGTTGTTGCGGCTGTAGCACTAGTAGTAGTGGTAACGGTAGTAGTAGTCCAAGTAAGTAGAACTGGCTTGTGGCAGCCAAGCGTTCATAGCGACGTTGCTTTTTGATCCTCCTTTAATGTCTTCTCTCCCTATCCTTGAGACGCAGAAGTCTCAAAAAGTTGGATGGTTCAGCACATCCAGGAAACCTATCGCTGGACCGGCCCAGATATGGTTCCAGAAGCGGCTCGGGAAGCTGCGCAGGCGCCAGAAGCAGAGAAGCACCACGTACGGGCGCCGGCTCGGGCGTCCGGCCCAAAGCCGCTCCAGAATCGGCCCAGGACGGCTTCCCGGGCGCCGCAAGCAGAAATTCAGCATTTTCGAAAGAAAAAAGTGTATTGGAATGGCTTCTTTTCGGCGCGATCGGAACTGCCCGGGCGTCCGGCCCGGGAGCCGGGCCGGGTGCCGGCCAGGCCGGGTGCCGGCCCGAGCTCCGGAATCGGCCCGGACGGCCTCGGAAGCAGAAATTCAGCATTCTCGAAAAAAAAATGTGTATTGGAATGGCCTTTTTTCGGCGCCGCCTCGGAACTCGATTCTCTGGCGCCCGGGCGCCGGCTCGGGCGCCGACCCGGGCGTCCGGCCCGGGAGCCCGGCCGGGTGCCGGCCCGAGCTCCGGCATCGGCCCGGACGGCCTCCCGGGCGCCGGAAGCAGAAATTCAGCATTTTCGAAAGAAAAATGTGTATTGGAATGGCCTTTTTTCGGCGCCGCCTCGGAACTCGATTTTCCGGCGCCCGGGCGCCGGCTCGGGCGCCGACCCGGGCGTCCGGCCCGGGAGCCGCTCTCGGCGGCGAGCAAGAGCACCGAGCCCGAGCAAAAAAGGAGGAAGTCTCGAGCCGGAGCGTTGTTGTTGTTGGGGGGCCGGTTTTGGCGGAACCCCAAAACGCCTGAGCGTGAGCCTCAATTTCAGAGGAAATGCGGCCGGCGCCTCGGCGAGAGCGCCAGGGCGAATATAGGGGGCCCAACAATAATAATTGTTTAGTAATTAAGGTTCAACAACAACAACAACATTAACAACAACAGCAATAATTTTAAGATTGTCCGCCCTTATATATTTTCGAGTGTCTAATAACGCGTATTTCCGAAACCCTCGATACCCGCCTTTTTCGTTTTCTATCGAACCCCTTTTGGGGGGTATACCTTTCTTCTCTGCAGGCAGGGCCCGGGCAAGCGGCGTGGCGGCCGCGGACCGCCGGCCTGGCCAGCGGCAGCGCTGATCGGCGGGGCGGCCGCGGACCGTCGACCCAACCCCAAGAGGGGCGGACAGGGGACCGACCACGACGACGACGACGACGACGACGACGACGACGACGTCGAAGACGGCGACGACGACGACGTCGACGACGAGCGAAATCGAGAGCGAGAGAGAGAGAACGACAGCAGGGCCTCGAAGGGCACAAAGTAGGCCACGAAGGGCGACAGCGGGGACACGAAGGGAATGCGCATGGGGCCACGAAGAGCGCGAACGAGCGGGGGCCACGAAGTGCAGATAATGCGGGGCCAAAAAAGGCAACAATGGGGCCACTGAGGGTAGCAACTGGGCCACGTAGGACAGTGAGGGGGACACAAACGGCGACAGCGGGGCCACGAAGGGCACGCACATGGGGCCACAACGGGCGCGATTCCTGGGTGCCTGGGTGTCGGGAGCGCGACGCTTGGGCAAATTGCAGGAAATTCCAACGCAAGGCTATTTTTCAGTAAGTTAAAAGCAAGTCTCCAGCGAGAGCGCGACCCCAGAGCGCCGGGACAGCGATTCCTGAATAATTCATAAGGATGTCCCAAGCGAGAGCGCGATTCCGGAATAACATGCGAGGAAATCTCGGGCGGGAGCGGGGGTCCTGGTTGAATTGTACGGAAGTCTCGGGCGGGAGCCGTTGTTGTTGTAACCCGGGGGCCAGGGGCCCAGTTTGAGCATCAAGACTTTCCTTGTCAGGAAACAGGGTGCGAGCGTCGAGGGGCACACTCTGATTGAGCAAAAACAATCTGCACCGGTGGGGGGATCAACAATAATTATTCTTCAAAGGGAGAGAATTCAACAACAACAATAACAACAACAACAACAACAACAACAACAACAACAACAACAACAACAAACACAAACACAAACACAAACACAAACACAAACACAAACACAAACACAAACACACAAACAAACAAACAAACACAACAAACACAACAACAACAACAACAAGAGCAACAGCAACAATAACAACAACAACGATGACGACAACAACAACAACAACAACAATCCGCATCGCGGAATCCTATTTCAGCCACGCGCCCAGGGACAGTGAATGACCGCTCGGCCCTTCCACTCTGATTTGTGTGCGTCGCCCCCCCAGGGGCGACGCGCGCGCCGAGAAATCTTCTAGTATAAGCTCCGTGGTGGGGCACGTTCTGGCCATGCCGCTCCCGAAACGATGTACCACAAAATGTGTGTACTATTCGTTCGGGTTGGAAACACGCCCCGAGGAGGACGCATCGTATTGGTATGTCCGTGTGCGTCCCATACGCGGCCGGCCAGGGCTCGCTACATGGACGGGGTTGGCCTGAGTCAACACGTCCCCAAGCCATGCATCCGTTGTTCCGTCAATGTTGATCAACGTTATCATCTTTCTGAACACACATTGCCGGTTATCACCGCCACGGTCGATTTCCTTTGTCAGTTGTTTTAATAATCGCATCCCGCGTCAGATCAAGATCAGATTTTGCATTGTCGCCATGAGGACTGAGGGTCTTGAGTCATAGTGGAGAGAAAAGGGGGTCCTGGAAGTTTTTCTGATTTGCGGTCTTGCTTGCTTCTTCCTCTACGGGCCTCGGAAAGGTGTCTCGTCGCCACGGCATGGTTCCGCTCAGAATTCCTAGCAAGGTCGGATTCCCTTCACCGCGGCTGCATCATTCGCTATGAGTCAAGGCTCGCGGAGCGAAACTTTGTAATATTTAGCAATTTTGAGTTGTTCAGGTGTCTTGGAGGCATGTTGTACGCTATCTTGAACCATCTTATGTTATCTTGGGCGAATTTGGAGGCCATCTTGGGCTGACTTGGGCCTTCTGGGGTCCACATTCAGCTATCTTGGACGCTCAGGAGCCTCGCGGCCGGGCCCCTCCAGCGGGAGAGGTACAACTCTCCCCGAATGGGGAAGAAGGCGGATGGAACAATTTGTTCGCTTAGTTTCATCACTCTTAATGGCAGGCGGGGTCCCATCAGCTAGAACTCCACGACTGGGGCCAGGGGGTAATCTTCTACCCCCCTATATCCTGCTTCTTCTCGCCGTGAGGAGAGGGGGTGTCTTGAGGCGAAAAGGTGCTGGAAGGTTCGCGCCGCTTTCGGCCTCCCCGTCAACAAATGATGGGGAGCTGGTTCCAGGGAGAGGTCAGGGAGGGGTCCAGGACCCGTTCCCTTCGGGATCCGCCCCTTCTCGTGATCGGGAAGAGTTGCCGTCAACGGGCGTCTGACGATTGTATTGCTCTGGGACTCCCAGACTTCTACTCCTCCTCCTCGTCCTCCTCCTCTGCCGTCCTGCCGCGCACCCTGGAGCGGTACCACAAACACCAGGTTGGTTTCTGCTTTCATGGTGGCCCAGGACCCATCCGTCTGTCCAGCTACACGTCATCGGGCTGTGCTGGTGTGCTCTGCGATGGTCCCGCTGCGCCCGGAAAAGTACGGGGAGCCTGGTGTTTCCCGGGTTAGGGCCACGAGTAAGGCCTGTGCTTGTCCCGCCTACAGTTTCTTTTGGCTTTGCTGCCCTCGATCACCAGATTGCCTCCCATGCCGAGGCATCCTAGATTACACGGCTGGTGGGAATTCGTCGACACTCTCGTCGAGTTGTTGTTCGCGTCGTTTTCTTCTATAACGTTACGTTCGTCCTCCGATCCTTCTTGGTCCTTTGTGGCCATCGCGGCTCTAGCTATTTGGACGCGATGTGTCCCAGGTGAAGCCTGGGAGCTCAGCGCAATTTGTGTGTTCTGTCAAAATTCGCCGTCTCTATCCTGGCTCCGAATGTCTCGCACTCCAACCACGTGCTGTTTGAGCTTGCTTCCAAGGTTGCTCCTGCTATCGCTTGCACCACCAGCTTCTGGGTCACGCGTGTCAGTAAATCTCACCGAGAACCTCACTGACGCGGTGGCACAGTTGGTATCGCAGTTCCACATTAACGTCAAGAACACGCTTTGTCTTTCGCCGAACCTCGATGCTTTTGAAGGTATTTTGAACAAGTATCCAAAGACTGTGAAGGCGATCCAGACGGCAGGCCAGAAATGGGCGAACAAATATAATTGTCGCCTCTGTCATGTATCCGCGCAGCAGGCGACGATGGACCGTCCGAAAGTAGACTGCGCAGCAGAGACAGGCACTTTGACTTCTGGCAACATTGCAGAAGCATGTTTGTCGAGCAATGGCAAGGTTGGATGGCAATCGGGTAAGAACGTCTGCCTTCCGTGCCCGAAGGAGTGCGAGTCTTGCGAAAAACCTGGCACGCTTGACGTATCATACTTGAGCAGCAGGTGGTTCAAATGTGTGCTTCCTTCAGAGTCAAGCAATTTGGGGCCCAGGAGTCTACCCTCCTCATTCTCCTCTCATATTTTTTTCCCTGGAGGACCGAAGGACGGGTGGGAGAAGGGTTGGCGAGGAAGAGGATAGTGCATAGATTCGTGGGCCCCAACGTACCCCAGTGCCCCAGCCGTGGAAGTGCGAGCCCGTCGCAGACAGGAGAAAGCAGCGCGGCCAGAGTCAGTGGTGCCGATACCGCTACGACCTCGCAGACACGGCATCGGGGGAAACGCAGCCCTCGAGCTCTGGCACGTGGGATTTACGCGTTACGGCCGCCCCTTGCAATGCACAGCTGGAGGACGCTCAGAGTAGAGGGGTGGCTGGCATCATGCAGGCCGTGAAGCCGGCCTTGGACAAGCAGTGGCAAAGAAATTGTGCGCTCTGCCGAATCACCGCGGGTGGACCGCTCTCGCAGCTCCCGGCGGAAGAGTTCAAGCTGGGCACGAGCAGCTCTCGGCCATGGGCTGACAGCGTGTGCGCTTACGACGAGCTCGGGAACGCAGCGTGCCGTCGCGACCGCGGGTCGACGGGATGGAACAACGAGGTCGGCTGCAACCCCTGCCCCATCGAGTGCGTCTCCTGCACAGACTCGACCTCCTCCTGGCTCTTCAGCGGCAGCCAGGGAAATAGTCACAAGTTTAAACGTAGTTAATGATCCCCCCCTCGTCCTCCTTTGCTCCCTAATTTAAGGTGCCAAGCCGTTACGGCGTGGCGTAACTGCTCCCTGCAGGCAAAGGCTTCAGCTGCAAGTTGGCCCCTTCCGTCCCCGCGAAGGCTCAGCTGGGGCTCATACTCGCACCCGAGGGCCCGGCGACGCTCGAGGAGAGCTCGCCTCCTGCCACTCCGGAGGGCTACGACTGCGAGCAGCCGAAGAAGAGGGCCTGCACGAGCGGCGACGGCCTGTGCATGGGCTACAAGACGCGGTGCAAGTACCGAGACTGGGCGGACTGATCGAAGAAGGCCCACTCCCGAGCATTTTCTTCGGGTCGAGGGCAATGGGTGGAATCTGAAATGCCGTTTCGATGGATTTTCGAGGCTTGAACTTGCACAAGGTGAATCACAAGACGGATTGAGTTTCGAGGTGCAAAAGCCCATATGGATTTCACCCTGAGCCCTCCACCCTGAGACAATGCTCAGAACTCAGCACACCGATCGTGGCCAGGTCCATCCTAGACTCGGAGTGGCGAATCGGACGAGGACCGGGTACCCATACCTCTACCCTTCCCTCGTGTTCTCCCTCTTGGACCTCCCTGGAGGCCCTCCTCTCCACCGCTGGGTTCGCGTCGAAATTCTGGTCAGGGCGCACCCCAGGAGAGGTCCAGGGAGTAGTGCCATCGGTACCTATCGGTTTCCCCAGCTAAGTGTGTGTTCGGTCCGAGGTATGAGAACGAGGTCGTTTCGGGGAGGGTGCCCTGGTGTTCTTCGTGTGTCTTGGATGCTGTTGTGCATCGTGGGGAGGGTACCTTCGGATATTATGTGCTTTGGCCGGCGGAGGGTCTCATGTTCTGGAAGGATGTGTTTCTGTCTTAGGTTCGACCGTACTCCACGTTTATGGGTCGGCCAAGGAGCTCGGTGTATGGGCGCTCCAGCCTCCCAGATCTTGGGGGGCTGGGCAGTCTACGCACCAAGCTCCGCTGCCGACTCACAGACGCGGCATGGGCATCCACGCCCTCCTGGGGATCGGTGGGAGCCGCCCGCCTGGCTCGGCAAGGAAGGCATGTGATCGGGGGCGAAATCCGAACCCTACTCCAAGGTTCTTTCTAAGTGTCGTGGGGCCTCACCCCCGCCGACAGCCCCACATCGACCCCCGTCGCGGGCAGCCACCGCGCGCCGAAGGCGCTCCGACCCCCG